GACCCAATTTGTCATTCAAGGCGCTTAAATACGCATCAGTTATTGCTGCCTTCTCTCTGCCTCCTCCAGCACAAGTTATTCCTTAATATCCAAGTGATTGATTAGTACAGCAATAAACTGGGGTACAGACGTAAAGCAACTCGAATAAAAGCTGTGTGCTGTTCTTTAAAGAAACTCCTTTCTCTTTGGATGAGGTTGCAAAAATAAAAAATTGTAGGGCTTCTACAGAGTTACCAAGACTGCTAACATAATTAGGAGCATTACTGTTATCAGTATTATAAATCTCTTGAACATAAATGGCATCAGAGCCCATAATCTGTTTCTCCTCTTTTAATATGACTCACAAATTCCCATGTGCAACAAAAGCTTGTTCTTCCCAGCAGTAGCTTCCTGCCTGTCTCCTAACAGGAATCTTCCTCTCCCTATTCCTCTCTGGGTTTGTTTGTTTGTTTGTTTGTTTTGTGATAAGTAGTGTGAAACTTCCAAAGTACTTCTGAGCCAAGCTATTGGATAAGATATAACTGAGTTCTCTTTTGTGTTCTAATAAAAAAATCAGCTTTTCCATACTGACAAGAGATACAAATTTCTCCTTAGCACATGGCAGGGTGCCTTGTGCTGTTTCCTTTGTCATTTCAGGTAGGTTTGGGAACTGGCTAGCAGCAAGTAAAGATTGTGAAATAGTTGGGTTTTTTTTGACAGCTCTAAATAAATAGGAAAGATCACAAAGAAGTCTATCCCCTACATAGCTTAGAGAAATTGTTGCAATTTTAAGTTCAGCTTTGTAAAGTAAATGCAGTAATCATATGACAAAGTCGGTATAAACCTGGAATAAATACTTTTTGGGTTTAAGAATAGGTCTCCTTACTTGCACAAGGAATATCCAGCTACATCATTCGGCAAAAACGCAGGGCTCTTCTGCATGTGCTCCTGTAATTCAAGCTTTAAGGAGAGAGGAAAAAAAAAGCTGACAAATGTTAAGTGTTCCTTTTAAGTGGAATGACTGTGTTTTGGGTATAAGGTGAGTTCATCAAGATGCCAGGAAAATACTGCCGTTTCCCTTTTTCTAGATTGCCTTTTCTCTGCTCCCTCTTATATTTTTAACTGCTTTATTTTTTGCCAGAGGGGTTTGTATCTCGTGCCAGTTTGCTCTGTTCTCTGCTTTCTCTGTCCCTTGCGAAAAAGAATGCTGTATCACACCCTAAGGTGTGGGCTTACCCCCTTGTTCCATAGGGCTGAAACAGACTGCTTTCCTTTTGCAGTTGCTTTGGATGTGAAGGAACTTGCCTGGGCGTGCAAGTTATCTCTCATGGAATTGCTCAGTGAATGAAGTTACATTCTTTAAAATGCACAGCATGTCATAGTGGAACTGCAGTAGAGTGTAAAAGCAAACTCCAAGTCTCAGATTTTAATGTTTTATTTTTCCCCCCCGTTTGATAAGATTGTGAGATATTTTGTTCTGCTTCCTGATCAAGCTATGGAGTTTGAAGTGATGGCTTAGTTTTTCTGTTTCATCTTCAGTATTGTTGAATTTGTTCTGGGAAGATGTTAGAGCTCTTCTGAGTTCTAGTTGGTGTGGTGTGATACTTTTCTGAGCGCCCAAGTACGTCTTTTGGGATTAAACTTTAAATGCTACATTGATGTAAGCTGGCTAAAGGATTGATCACATTATATGCAGGGTGCTCTGTCTCAGGGTGATATCTGTCCTGAGGTCCTGTCGTTGAAGGGAACAAGGAATCTGACACAATTAAATCTGACTTAGAGAATGGTTCTCTAAATGAGCCATCAGTTGGTCTTCTTCGTGCAGTCTCCCCACCTACAGCGTGGCTCTTTTGTGCATTTTGTGGCTTTTGTCAATGAACTGTGCTGGTTTTGGAGACCAGAGTTTTTGCTGGCATAACAGAGATGAAGTATTCTCAGTGAATGTCACCAGTGTTTTTCATCATGTAATTATCACAAGAAATTTTCCGGCAAGGCTGAGTCTTTCATTTACCTTCCTATGGAGTCCGTCCACTGACTCTTGCTTTGAGATGCCGATTTGCTTCCTGTTGTATTATTTTTAAGGATGAGTTGTATGCTTTTCTGTTGGCTGCCTTGGACTTATAGGGAAATACGGCTTGATATTTTGGGGCTGGGTTTGGCTTTTTCTTTAGAGGAAAAAAAAATTCAGAACAAAACTCAAATACAAAACCAAAATCAAACCAGGTATTCTGAAGCAGTGTTAGTGGTGAATTTCTGAGGATGTGGAGAAGCTCTGAAGTGTGTAATGGAGTAGAGAATGAGCATCTTTTGCAGAAAAAGCATTTTATGATCAGGTGACTCACAGTAGTTTCACTTTCAGATCAGGAGAGAATAAAGGATATGAATTTGACATGATTCGACATCAAAATATTCAGTGAGCCACATCCTCATGTAACGTATTGTGGCTTGATTGCTTTCACTGAAATGATGCCAGTACATACCAGCAGAAATATCTGTTCCTGTGAAGTCTTCCTCACTCTCATGGATGTTTTTTGGTATATAGTGAGTCACAGTGATTGAACTTCCTACAAAGGAAGGACCTCTGAAATAACCCCTGAGGGAAAGAGGTGAAAGAGCCTGGCAATGTAACCACCAAACAGTCCAAATTTCTGAACAGGAAGTGGATAGATCTTGTCTCAGTGTTAAAACAGTTTCATGTGTCCTGCTGTGGCTTCCTTGATTAGTCTCAAGTTTAGACGTGTAATGCAGATGTACCAGGATGGACACTTTGTGCCTGGTGGATACAGAATAGTAGTTAGGAGGAAAATGTGCTCAAGTTGCCAAAGCAGATACTTGCTGTGAGGAAGTGTCTGTCACCTTCACCTAGAAGTACTTGCTCTATGTATGCAGTGGAGTAACTTCAGAAATGCAGGTGAGTGCTCTTTGGGCTTTTTTCCCTGGACACTTGATGTGACCCCTGCTGATTTAACTCTTGAGTTACCTTCTGATTTCTGGTTTTGCTTTTATCCTAAAGTTCAAAAGACTGAAGTCTTGGACTTTTCTAACTCACTGTAAATCCAAGGGCGGGTGGAATGAAAGGAAGCGTACAGAATATTTGTCTACGTTTATTCATCCTGTTTTAGCTATTAAACTTCTTCCCTGTACTGAATCTACCTTTCTTGCATGTTTTGATAAGCTCAGGAAATTCTGAAGGTACTTATTGAGTGGGATGGATCAGTTAGGCAAGGAAGATCTTGTACTCAGCTTTTGTTTTGGAAGGTAACAGGAGAAACTGTAGGAGTGGACAGGGCAGGATCGTGCGTTAAGAGCTTTCCCTGTCTGTGCTCTGTCTCAGTGTATTCTCTGTCTTCAGCAAAAATGTGCATAGGTGCAAAGCATAAGCAATGTGTGGGAATAGCGGCCACAAATGTAACAGTGTGAAGTTTTAGTCTTAAACTTTGCTTACTATCAGAGAACAGCTGCTGTACTGTTACAACATTTGTGTGCTTTAATGACATCAGTGCTAGATAAGATGGTGCCATTAAAGGAGTATGATAACTTATTAGCTTTGGGATATTTGATGTTCCTACAGAAGCCGTTAACAAAAAATACTTCTCCTGAATTTTAATCTCCATAAGGGCCTGTGGTTATAGGATCATTAACTCCTATGATGTGTCATATGCCATTTCTACTTCAAGTAATAAATTAATTTCAGATCCTGGAATAATTCAGCCCTGAGAGGCCCTCAGGGGGTAGGACAGGCTTCTGCTTAAAGTAGGACCAACACTACATGAGTGGTGGTGTTTTGGTTTCCAGCTGTGATTGTAGCTAACATTCTTTACCAAACAAATTTCACCTGCTGATATGCCCCAAATTATTTCAGAACCACAGGGTGCTCTTCAAGATACTTCCCATTAAAACGTGGAAATAAGTGGTTTTAGCGATGATGGATTTTCACAGTGTTAGCATTGCTAATCATTATTGTTCTGTATATGAAGTTATGCATTTGGCTCAGTGTATGGATCTCACTTCACTGACTGCCACGTTACTTCTGGAAGAGGAGTTTCTGACAAGAGAATGGACAAGGTGGGGCGTGGTGCAAAGATGAACATAGAGAGGAAGTGACTTCCCAATGATGCTGAATGAGGGACCAAAGAGAAAAGGAGAGGTACTTCAAACTGGCAGGGTCATCTCTGACCATCTTTTCCTACATAGCTCCCCCTCCACCAATTTCTACACACTCTAAGTTAGTAATGATGCCTCACTGCCCTGTCTCTTCTAAAATAACATCAAACTGGATCTGTGCTTTCACAACAAAACATGTTTGGGCAATGTTTCAGAGCTCAGCTTGTAATTATGCTCTGAAGAAGACACCCATAGATTCATAGTTAACAGCATAAGGAAGGATCCCAGGTTTCTGCCTTGTGTGATTGCTGTTTTTGGAGAGAGCCCTTGACCTCCTTTCTCAGAGGAAGTTACCTGCCTGAAAATTTTGAAAATGTGAGTCTTTTGTAACCAGTGAGCAAGAGAGAGGTGGGAAGAGGAAGGACAATGCCAGGCAATGTCTGAAGAGGTACAAGTATGTAGGCATTTGACAGTGTGTAAGAGAAGAGAGCTGTGCAGGGCAAAAACCCGAACTGAGTGAATATCCAGCAATCAAATCCCCAGCTGCTCTTTGGGGATTTCATCGATACGTTAAATAATTCTGAAAAATGTCTTACTATGTGTGTATAAATTGTGTGTACTTGTGTACTTATGTGTACTTACTTATACTTATGTAAATATATATGTATGCATAATGAAACCCAGAGTAGTTTGATTTCTGGAGAAGCTACTGCAACAGCATAATTTTCTATGATTATAGAAAATACCAGGGTGAGGGAAAGAGGTGTCAGCACCTTCTCTTGTGCAAGGAGCTATCTGGTGATAAACAGCTGCTGAAGTTGGTCCATTATATGTAATCCAACTACGTTGCTGCAATAAATCTTGTATAATGAACAGTTATAGCAAATTCCATTATTAAAAAATCTTGTCTTCTCCAGGTTTGTGGCATGCTAGAGATCCTGGAAAGATTGCCTGCTGAACTCGTGTCATGCTGGGAAGGACCATCGCATCCATTCTACCAGGGCTGAGCTCAGTTCTCATTCTCTGTCTGCACTGACACTGTATTTTTCACTCTTCAACATGTGGAATACGTGTCTGCAGAGTTAAACCAGGACAATCTCCTGAAAATGGAATTCCACAGAAGGCACATGCTGTGATTTCTTGAATAAGCCAACAGCATCCTCTAAATTTTTTTTTTTTTTTTTTTTGCGGATTTTTATTACTCAACTGAAAGAGCAAGCAGTGTTGCTAGATTGCTCTGAAAGCTAGAGATGGCTCTGCCTTCTCCAAAATCTGTGGCAGGAGATCTAACACAAAGAGAAGAACTCATGCTCCATAATGAAAGCTGTTTTCATTTCCTCTCTACAAACGTCATCACAGTAGGTAAGTGAAAGTTTGTCTCACCTAATAGTTTGGTATTTGAAAATGTTTACTTTACTCCCAATTTCTTGTATGGTATTGAGATTTCACATTGAAATGCTAAGTTTCTGTAATTTGTTTGAGGGAATAGTGCTTGTAAATTAGGGGGCTGAATTTCAAATTTTGTTGTATAGTTCGCATGATGAAAACTTAACTGCAGTGTAGAAAAACGAGATGCCAGTACTCTGGCCCGTGTTTGACCTGTTCCTGTAATGTCCAGGAGTTGGTGGTGTGCACAAGGCTAGAAGTACCTGCTGCACTGTGAGTTATGTTATGAAACCTTTCACTGCAAGATAACAAGCAGATTGACTGTTATCAGCATTCTCCAAGATATGCTAGCAGGCTTGTATCTTCATGTAAATGGTGACATTTGTACTTGAATAGATGATCAGAGTGTTTTTGAGATGTCAGTTTTCCCACCTATTCAAGCGCTTCCATTCCAGAGTTAACATAAAATATAAATAATGCCTCCACCTACTGTGCTGATTAGAATCTTGAGGCATTGTCTTCTGTGGCTGCAAATAATAATAATGTAGCAATAAGCTGGGATGTGGCAAAATTCACGGGTAGATTTGAAGGAGAGTTGTCCTCTTATTTACCAGATCTTCAAAGAATGTGGGCTTGTGTCAGTAACAAAGTGCCTCTGAATCACTGTCAGACTTGTGACTTCAGTGGGATGGGCATTTTATAGAAATGTGCATGTGATTCCTTCGGAACTTCAGCTGATCCCTTATGGTAGGGATTGTTTGAAATGCTGGTTTGCTGAATATATGAAGGTTAATGTTTTCAAAGATCAGTAATCATCTTTGGATGTATGTGCTCATCTGCTTTTGAAAAGACAGATGATGGGACTTTACCAGAGTATTGTCATGTTGGTGCCTTTACAGACTGTAGAGGAAAGGAACTTACAAGAGCTTGAGAACATAGCTTGTGCAGCTTTGCTAGAGCAAATACGTGTATCTGAGTGCTGTGTTTCTTTTAAAGGGCAGTAAGATATGCTGAAGCTTTTGGGGGGGGGGGAGGATATTTCGCTTATCAAAGTAATTTTTCATGAAGATGATGGCAGCACTGTAACTGCATTTAGAGCACATCAGTATTTTTTTCTGTGTGTGACACCAGTAGAGTTGATTATCAGCAATTTTTTGGCTTTCAACCAGACTCCTTTATTCAGCAGCACCAGGTTCTCCTAAATATTTTACTCTTTAGCTTTTAACAGATGAATTCCAAGGGGATCTCTGAATTCTGGGAAAACAAGGAGGAATTGTGGTAGAATGTAGTTATGAAGGCTGTAGGAAGAACAAGGAGAACCCAAGCTCTTTCTCACAGCAAAATATTTTGGGCTAGATATTTTTAAAAAGTGAATTAGCATCATAGGACTAGACTGTCACAATTGATTGCAGCTTTTGTTCCTTGATTCAAGTGCTTCTGGAAAATCCTTCTTGAAGTTGATTTGGGGAGGAGGGATTTATACTGCCTCAGGTTGTGGCTCTGTGCCATGAATCTGTCCGAAGCAATCTAAGATGCAGAGCTCAAAGAACAACTATTGTTGGCTGTTGGTCTTTTTTGAGTGTTGACAGTTTGCTCAGAGGAAAATGAGTTCTTATCTTAGGAAGCTCTGGAGATTACAGATGTGATTCTGCATATCAGGTGTTGATTGGAGATTGAGTAGGAGGAAGGGAATTGTGTAACTGATGTCTGTGGCAGATGAATTTGTGCTACAGGATGGATCTGAAGAGGGAGAAAGAGGGCTTGGTTGCATTGAAAACAAGACAGTTGATTTAGCCCAAGACTCTAATTAGAAGTTAATGTATTCAACACAGGACTTATTTTCTTGAAATATTTCCTTCTACTGCCAACAGTCATGAAGCAGACAACACTTTTTTTAGCTGGGTGCTCACAGGAACTATTTTCATAATTCAGGCCAAATTTCTAGCAATTGCAAGATTGATTTCTGCTGGCTTGCTGTTCAAAGTGATATCTATAGCTTTTGCTAGCATTAATGGAGTTGAATATATTTGTATTGCTGGTGTATTAAAAAGAAATTTAGTGCCTCTTGAACAAGAGCTGTCCTTTATATAATTCTGTACGTAAAGCTCTGTCAGAGTGTGTATGTAGGACAAAGTGCACAGAGATGGCAGAAATAGCTGGAGGGAGAGAAAGTCTTTATTGTGCCTGTGCAGCCCTTCCAGCATTCCTGTGCAAGTGGGTCTGAACCCAAACAAAAGCTGGGCTCCTGCTCAGGAATCCCATAGCAGACTTGTTCAGAACACCCACTTGAGTTTGTTCTTATCTCTCCAATTAACCCTTAGTATGACTCAGTTTAAATGCCATATATTGCAGTGACAACTTTTATCTTATTTCACCTTAGTGTAACGATAAATTCTAAAGAAACAGTGCAGAAGTGATATTACTACTTTTCAGCTGTTAGTTGTCTTGATTGAGTAGCCTGTGCTTTCAAAAATGACATTTCAGCTTTATCAAGCTTATGCTTTCAAATGTTGGCACTTTCAGCTTTCTAATTTGAGTGAGAGTATCCCCAAGAAAATTTGGGAAGCACAGGGCTGGAGAGTTACATCCCTACTTGGTATGAATCTATGCAGTTAAGTAAAGGCTCCTCATTTGACAACTTGATCCCATAGCATCACAGCTACCTACGGTCTACTTCTGAACAATACTTATCTCAGGTGGCCTGAAACTTTGACATTCATCTGTGGTTTTCTGACTTTTCTTATCAGTTGATACAAGAAGTTTTCAAAACTTGTTATTTCTTTTAGAATCAGAATTCTCCTTCCCTGTGTAGGTGTGTATAGGTGAGGAATAAGATTGCTGTGTAAAAAGTAAATGAGTGGAATGCATTTAACTTGCATGTAATTTTGCTTTATAATAGCCATTCAAGATTGTAGCGGCATTGGGAAATTCCAAAATCAAGGAGATACATGGAAAATTCAGTAATCCCCTATTTTTAAAATATGTTCTTGCATGTCTAGACTCAATTTTTCCTTCTAAACTGATGAAAGAGTGCTGTGCACAGACATGCAAAATCCTGTTTGCTCAGTATACGGTACATCAGATTAGCCTGGAGATGTACTTAAGATGGCCTTCAACGTGTGGCTCTAACATGCAGCTCTAACGTGCTTCTGCCCCAGAAACCTCTAGCATATCAATTTAGTTGAGCAGACAAAAGTGAGATTATATTAATTGGCGTCAGCTGCTTGAGAGTAGCTCTGATTAAAGATATATTGCTGTGATATTGCCCATCAGTTGAAAATGAAATAGGAACTGATGCTTTCGTTTAACTAGTTTTGCTTGTGTTAGTGACCACAAAAATTTTTCCTTTTCTGTTGATGCAGTTTGAATATAACATCTGGAAAGACATGCTGTTAATTTCCAGTGATCCAATTTAGATGTGGCAGTCTCCTCCTGGATTTGGTACAACTGTGGATACTAGAAAATTCTAACACCAAGAATTAGTGTTTTCTCAAATAATGATTTTCAATGCTTTTTTTCCTTCTTGAATGGAGAAGGTAGTGTAATGCTTACTGCAAGCTGCCATTTACTCTGCTTTGTGCTGCAGAGGCATAAATGAACAAGTGAGGCTTGCAGAATTCACTATTGTCTCCTTTGGTGCAGTGTCAGCTGACTGATTTGAAGTGATTGTGAGGCTATTGACAGTTGGAACAAAGACATGAGTGAGGATATCTAAGGGTAGTTCTGATTCTGTCACTAACTTATTGTTTGACTGTTTTTGGCAACTTCACTTCCTCCTCTGTCATGCAACTTATTTTGATTGTAAATGGGATCTGCTACTCCTGCACAACAAAACAGGCGGGTTGCTTTCTGCAGTTATCCTGTGCGAGCTAAATCCTTGCTCATCATCCTGGAAGTGCTCTGAAGTCTCGTACTGATGGCAGTAATTTCTGTTCCTCAGGCATTTGGCATTTCACAAGGTCATATTTGACTGTCCTTTAACGCTAGAGGGCAGCGGTGGTCTTCCTTTTATCCATCCATCCACTACTGCAGCTGAGGCACGACAGTTTTGCTAATCATGCATGACAGAAGGTACCAGGAAGACTTTTGGCTCAGCATGAAGTCTTTGCATTTCATTTCGATTACTAAATATTGTTGCTTCATCTTTCAACAGGTGCATTTCATATACTCCTTTCTGTTATCTTTGAGAAATCAATATTTATTTCCATAAGAATATTAGCTTCGATCAAATGAGCTTTTTAAGCCTTGGAATCCTAAAAAGTTATTGATTGAATCATTGGTGAATCTATCAAGATTTCTCGATGAATTTCTTTCCTGTTCTTCTTTGACTGGAGTTTTTGCTTGCCTGCTTTACTAGAGTATTGCAGTGTAGTTCTCAGAATCTGTGCCAAGATGGAGAAAGGTGGTTTGTCTCCTATCTTCTGTTTAGGCACAGACATTCCCACTGAAATTTGTTGGCAGCAGGAGTCTAAATACTGTTGAATTTGACACGTGCAACAGAGCTTGCTTCAGTTTGCTGTCTCCAATTCAGACATCCTTTGACCTGGTAACAGCCTTACTTTGTGAGCTTTGTGCAGGTAAGTGAAACCAGAAGAAATAGCAACAGGAGCCATAAAGGTACATAAAGCAGAGGTCTGGTTTCTTGCTTGCTCTCCGTTGTCAGTAGGAATATTGCGGCTTGGCCTTGCCTTTCTGTGCTGGGCATTGCTGAAATCATTCAGCTGTAGTAGAAGGGGGAGAGCTACTTTTGCACTGGGGGAGCAACTAAATGCCTCTTTACCCTAGGCTTAGAATGTGAACCTGAACAATTTGCTAGCAGAGTACGATGTTGTCTAATCCAAGCTAGTACTGAAATGTTAATAGATTTATTTATATGTCACTTGTTGAAGAAGTGGAATTGTTTGTTGAGGCAAAGCCATGAGCATGTTAAATGTTTATGTAAATGTTAGCGCTCAGAAAGGGCTTTATGGTTGAAC